GCACCTGTTACAGAAAAAACCCAAACCTCACACAAACAGCCCTGACAAATTGCCTGGTTAAAATGGGATCACTGGTAAACAAACCGAATGGAAAACAAATCTGGATGCACTGGATAAAATAAAAACCTTCGTTTTCTTACCTTAATTTTCCTGCAAGATTACTATGGGTTGTTACTGTGGTGCCCCAAAGTACTGAGAAAATTGCACTGGATCATTTATAGGCTAGTCTTTGTGGATACAGTCTAGTTAAAGAAAACAACAGCTTAATGTAAACTGTTTAACCCTTTCGCTCGTGTCTTGGGCCCCTGGCCTAGGAGGAGAAGGGTGACAACTTTAAACTTTGTTGTGCATTATCTTTAGTTATCAAAATTCAAATAAGTTAAGTAAAAAAAAAATACTGATTTCCAGGTAATTGATCTACTGTTAAAAACAATGCTCAGCATAAACATTTACAGTAAACATAGCTAATCTGCAGCTAGCTGAGAGAGATCACAGAGATAAATTTACAAGTACCCTGTAGTTTCTATTGGCACCTTTTTTTTTTTTACTTCTTTTTTTCCCAAATGAAAGCTTTATATTCTTTTTAAGACAGGAAAATTGAGATGATAGAATTATTATCATCTTTTTTTCTCAAAGTCCCTCAGAAACACACGAAGAATAAACCAGAAATGCTTAGAACAACGGAAAGCATTCGTACCAGGGTGTAATCCGAGTCATCTCTGCACAGAAACCCATTAAGCATCTCTCTCCAAACCCAATTTATTTTGTCCAATAGTTCAGTCAGTAGTAAGCATGAGATAAAGTGCTGCTATTCAAACATCAAAACACTTGGAAAGAAAGTTGCCCTTTAAGCTTGCTAAATACGAAGTAACACAACCAATAAACTGTCAGCCAGTCCCTGAAACCAGAGTTCATGCTGTAGCAGACTACAGTGATAAATATTTTAGTGGCTTTTGGTTTTTTTTTTTTTTTTGAGGCTGCTCGTTCAAAGAAATCAGAAAGTCCAAAATTCTTTAACTGAAAATTTCAGCATTTTTCCAAAAAAGTGATTTATCTCAAATTTTTACTTTGAGCTCTCAATAAGCTAAACATGCCAGAGCTTACAGCTTATGCACCAGTTAAAAATTTGCAACTGGAGACACCCTACGAACTGAAAAAATGCACACTCACGGTAGCAGCTAGCACAGAGGTAAAATCCATCAGGGATGAAGTGGGGATGAGTTTAGCAGCTCTGCAGGCTGCTAAACAACAACAAACAGTTCAATTTGTAACTGCAGTGGGCTAACAAGAGACTGGACAGAACAGTTACACTGAACCAAACCAACCCTTTTCTCCTTGCAACAGCTTCCCAACCACCACAAACTACAACCTCTGCAATTTCCATGTCTAATCAATGAATATCTTTTTACTAGATCTTGATACTGGCTCCTAGCACTAAGAAGTAGCAATAGAAAAGAGCTTTTCCAGTCTCAAGACAAAAAGGTGGGTACTTAAATTAGCAAATACACCAAGCCAACTGGGGACCTGAGGTGTGAGCTACAGAAAGCCTGCAAGTGACATTAGAGGGCACCAATCCCGCACTCTGTGGAAGTCCAAATATGCCAAATTTTAATCTACACCATAACCCAATCTCTCCCTTTATCCTCACGGCTGAGGGTTACCTGCACAGCGGCTCTACAGTTAAAACTACAGCAAATCTATTGGACAACCTGCTTTTGCTTGGAAATTGGTGGATTGGTATTTTCATGCTCATGCAAATTCTCTGAGCCATCAAACATCGCCCACACACCTGCACACACACTTCAGAAGCATAAAGAAGTCACATAATTCAGCTCCACCGCATACCTGGAGCTCCAGCATCTTTGTGCCACACCTTTCCTACCTCCCGTCTCCCTGGACAGTGCAACTGCAGCAGGTCTGCTGCATTTTGGCCCTTCTATGAAGCTTTTTGGAAGGTCTCCGCGGAAAGTTGGCAGCTACACAGGTTCCATAACGAACTCCTCATGTTCCTTATTCTCCCAACTGCTTTCTCACCCTCTCTCTAATAGATGGCGTGCCAGACTGTAATCAGATATTGTAGAAGAAGTGTTATTGCTTTATCTATATGGGACATAAGCTTTCAAGATTTAACAGAGAAATGTGGAAGAAACGACAGCTAGCATTAAATGTAGAGAGAAAAATTTTAAAAATTAGTTTTTTTTTCATAACTGGGAGAGAATATATAAATGAAATGCATAAAAGCAGTATTTTCCTGCTTCAGACCTGCAAGTCATTTAAAATACCAAATGCTTCCAAATTCAGGATAAATGAATTCTTCTGCTCTCAGTTATCTGGTATCTAAAGCAGTATTTCTCAAAGTGGATTGGCTGACAATCTGTAGGCGGTGTATTAAACAATACCTGTATCTTATTTCATATTTAGCAAAAGTAAAAAATGCCCCCGAAACACTCGAAGCCCCTGCTAGAGCCCCATGTCTTTCTACTAAAAAACCCCTTCAAATCCACTTTAAAGAAGTGATGGTTGTGTAGTTTTCAATCCAAACCTAGAGGGAAAACAAAAGTCTTAACATTATATATTGGCACAAATCTGTCATAATATTGCTCTTATTTACAATGAAAACTTGTCTTTTAACTGGATTCATACCATGGAAGCGTTACAAACATACTGTTTCCCAGACCCACCCACCATTTTTCCTTAATCAAATGGTATGAAAATAATTATTCATAAAATCCAACAGTCATAACACCAATCACGTATAGGTCTATAGGTCATTATGTCTGAAAGATACATTCATGTTTTGTACAGCATGAAACATACAAAAAACTTCTTTAAAAAACTCTCAAGGATGATACAGATCTTCATAACTCAAAGTAAAATATTCAGCAGTTTTGCTTTTTTTTGGCCATATAAAAATATTTTGAAGGCCATTTATACCACAACAGGTAGAAACATCTGACAAATGGGTTATGGTGCAGAAAGGCTTCAACACTATTCTCTTTCCTAAGCGGTTTTTGGTTACCTGGCTTTGGAGAAGCCAAAAAGCCACTGAGTCGCTGATGCCCAATTACCTAAGAGTGGTTACTCTGTTCCACTTTTTCCCAGTGCAACTAGTTATTACACAACAAATCAGCTTAAGTCAGTGCAGAGGAAGATTTTGAAGAGACCTATTATTCTTGCCTGCATTTGTAATCAAAACAGTAATGACAGATGACCAATAAAAACCCCACACTTACTTGTGGTATAAATGGGTCTCTTGAACTCAAGCTGCTTTGGCAATTTTATGTAAGAATATTTAAATATGTGACATCCCAACATTATATAATGTTGCTACAAACTCCATTTCTCATTTCCCTCAGAAAAAAGGGCAAATGTTATTTTCATTTACAACCTGACCATGAAGAAAATTTATTTCAAAATAAAGGAAGTATTTTAAATTTTTAGACATTAAGTGCGGAGTTTAAAATAACATTCCAACTAGCCAGCATCTCAGCTAATAGTCTGTCACATGGAAGTTAAAGCTTAGACTTCCCTAAAGAAGAATTTTCTCTTATTGCAATGGCTTAAAATAAAACTGAGATTAAAGCTACCTTATTACTCTTTTTCAGTTTATCAGATCCAGAGATTCTTATAATATTCATTTTTCACTGAGGGGTAATATTGATTTAAGCATCAAATCTAGAAATATAAGTAACAGGGCCACAGGCCACCTAATATTATTTTGTTTTCTAAAAATATTTAAAACTCTATCTTCCATTTGGCATTGTGGTTCACATTTATTACTGAGTCATAAGCCAGGATTTCACTTTGCCTGAATCCCTTTTCACTTAATAGTTCATGGCTGATCTATTTCAAATGTCCATAGAACACAGTATATTATATTATATAATATAATTCTGCAATAGTTAAAAATTATTTAGCATAGAACTTCCCATTTTAATTCAATGCTCTATATAGCTTACAACAAAATTTACTCGATAAACATTTTCAGGAAACCAATACAATAAATTAAAACTTTTAAATAGAGGGCACGAAGTTATGTTGTCACAGGGCAGTCAAAGACGTGACCAATTTTTTTTTTTTCTAACAGTATATTACACCGGATACCTTGCTCCTGACTCCTTTCTCCTATGCTGGAAAAATATTTTAAAAAAGGGGACATTTATGTACCTTCAGAATGAGCTCAGATACTGTATCAGACAGACATTTCTTACAAATCTTCTACCTACTTAAATAAGAAGCAACCCATACCAACTGGAACAATTTTGCACAAGCATAACAGAAGGTGACCAGGGTCATTATGGAATTAAAATAAAGTTCTAGGACAACTTCATAGTGTTCTCCTCCCCTTCCCTCCCTCTGACACTTAAAAAATAAAAGGCAGACCTGTACGAACACGGCTTGAAATCAACTATGAGGACTTAAAAAGTAATTGGTTATCAGATAATGGAATTAAATCACACCTGAAGTTTAACTTAATTATCAGTGCTATCAAAGAGTTACGTTCTAATCAAGTAATACAGCTATTTTCAATAAAAGGATAAAACAAAGGATCAGCTTCTAATGACTTACCAGCATTTCATAGTAAGCTGCTAGTAAGTTACTAGTTGGAAGGAATGTGTCAGATTTTTCACATAATTACAACACAGCAGCATACAACGCTCATTCATTAAGTTGGCAGAGGTGCTTTGCGACAGAGTAGCACGCAGGTACTTGTAAAAGGAAAGAGGGAATGGTATTTCCATGACCCCTTGCGGTAACACATTCCAAGCACCAAGGGCTGGTTATAAAATCTGAACCCATTAAGATAAATATGACAGGACAATACCACCCCCACAGAATGATGAGTGCCTTTCACTGGGTGTACGCTGTAAGTCTCAAGGCACTTAAGGGGTTAAGACATAATGCATGCACTAGTTCCCATCACGTACTCTTAAGTCACATGAACCAGAATACACCAGTGTATGACACACAAAGCTGTGTCAAAGAAATGCTGTTTATTTTTTTTCTTTTTATTGTTATTATTTTGTACAAGATGCTGGTAAGTGGGCATTATGCAGCTACTGCTGGGTTAACACAGACGCCAGCTTTCCTCTAACAACCAGCTGGTCTCTAGTAAGGGTGTAGGACAGTGTGCTGCATCAGTAGGCAGTGTGTATCTATCTAGTATTGGCAATATTGCTAATGTTGTAAAAAATAAAAGAGTGAGAGTCTGTACAGAGTAAATAAACCTAGCACTGGAAAAAGACCATGGCTTAGTGTATTTTTTCATTTGTTTTTCATTTTAAGAGACATGGGTGTAAAACAGAGTGAAGTAATTCCAAGCCTTGTTTGTAGCAATTCAACCAGAAGCGCAGTATATGGCACTACAATGAAATATCGTAGATTACCCTGAACACAATTAGTTCTTTCAGTTTATGGTCTGTTCGGAGCAAAGCACGAAAATAAAGTCTTCAAACAGATGAAGGTTAGAAGAGTTTCAGAGACTGATTTTGTTTCAACGTAAAGTGCAACAGTGCTGAAGTTTTCAAAGTCCTTTGTCAATTCTTTGCTGTACTTCACTATCGTTTCCTGCAAGCAGTATTATGGCACAAAGAATGCTGCCAGTTCATTACAGAGGACAGGATTCCCCAGTTGATATCCTAGGGTTTTTGCTCTTTACTTATGCAGTGATGCTTGTACAGGTTTAATAAATCCTTCTTCATACACCTTCAAAATAGCTTCACATACAAATCTGTATTGACTCTGCAAGGGAAAGTAGAGTCAGTAAATCAAAAACAAACATAATTGAACCATGTCATCTGGAAGGCCTCTAAGACTACCCCATCCCATTCTCATGACAGGCCAAGAACTGTGCTTAAAGTTAGTGTAGGAACCACAAAACAACAAGAACTTTATATTAGAACATCTTGTTTCTCAACAGAAGAACAGGACGAGCGGCACTTTGAAATATAGAACCAAAAGTCATACCCACAAAACCAGTACGTCACCAGCTATCTAGTAATTCTGCTCTTCATTTCATTGCTGCAGTTTCACTGACCTGCACTTAGACTCAGAAGCTATAGTTTCAAAGCACTTTTTCATACTTAGAATAATTCTGGCATGTTACTGTTAAAAAAAATGATAAAAAGAAAACAGTTTCATGTTTTAAAGCTAGAATTCCAGTTTCGCAACTTTATATAATGTCTAACTCTGCAAAGTGTTCAAGTCTAGAACCTGCATACACAGAGGTCACTAATATTTTGTTTGAAATAAATAATAGTTTAATAAACCCCAACAGTAATCAAAATAGAATCTAATGAAAATAAAATTAAATGAAAATCACTGCTTTGTGAAGCACCACAACTAACTGAACACTGCATAATGGTGTATATGCTGGTCAGGAAGCCGGTATGCCTGCCTTTTTCAGTGTCGTGGAATAGACCTCTCTGCGCAGTAATTAGTGATGTCAGATCTTAAATAGGCACAGTAACCGAATGAGTAATAGAATCATTATTTACTGTATTGTTGAATGTGTATTACAATAGTTAAGTTTATACGTATTTGTGTAGAATACGTATTTTGCCTCTGGCACTCCCTGAAGGAGACTGAATTCTCCCTGAAGCAGTAGGCTCAGCAGAGCCTTCTGCATAGAGCCATCTTGTGGACATTGACTGAATCTTTCTGGGCATACAAACTCAGGAAGAGTGTGCCAAAATAGAAATTGTAACAGCTAACATTTATTAAATCTTAAAATAAGAAAGAAGCTTCTTCGATGTTATGTAGAATGTATCATAATCACTGATACATAACGTCAAGTCTTTTATTATCCTGTCTCCCTCTGATGCAGTAAACACCTGCGTTTCACTGAAGCTTGAAAATTCTGGTTTCTCTAAGAAATAAAGGAGAAGACCAGAAGACATTTAACATACTGTGAAAAAACAGTTGAAACCCTTACCACTGCACCTCCTACCTTCACTAATAAAGCTCTATTCCTCTCTATGAGTGCTGGAGAGAGAAGCTATTCCTACTGTATAGTCACCAAAACCAGCAAGAGACAGCCTTTATTAATTTCTGATGTATCATCACCTTCCTCATCCTTCCTGAGCTAGCCGAGTAATACATCTTTGTTTTAGTGAACATAAATGCTAGACAGCAGTGCTGACTTAGAAATGGAGCCCCATCTATACCTTTTGTCAGTCTGAATACGCTCTGAAGAGCACAAAGTTTATTCAAATTTCAGTAGAGGAGCAGCAGCAGGCATGTTAATTTTACTACAGTGAGTAACTACCTTCAGGTAACTGTGGGAATGATTTCATACTGGATCTAATGTCTTTTCTCCTTCCCTGCTATATACTATGAGTAAAACTATACAGCTGATTAGTGATTAAAAAAAACCCACAAACCCTGGAACTGGTCAAAGCTTGGAAAAAAAAAGAGTCTAAGCCTCTTCAGATCCTTTTTAGGTAACTTATAAGAAAGTAAACACAAACTGCCCTCAGAGATACAAACCACCTGACTGATACAGAGTTTCTGGGTTTATTTACTTTTTAAAGTCAACTGTTCTACATTATTCTGAAACATAACACATTAAAGCAACATTGCAATTACCTTAAAAAACCTAAAACATTATAGATCCAGGAAGAATTCTAGCATCTCAAGATGCAGCAAAATGTGAAGAGTGCACCAAAAGAATCCTGGAAGCAAGTTATTTATTTTAAAACTAAATACCCTTAAAATTACTTCAATATATCTTGCATCAGGTTTAATTACACTAATTTTTAAAATACTATTTCTCTGATTATTTCCCTTTAATTGAGTCAATACAGGGCAGAGTTGAAGCTTGTTTTCATTACAATCAAGGCAATAGAAAAGCACTGAATTGCATCACTGAAGGTTTTTCCTCTGTGTCTTGGTTCTTTCTGTGTTTACCTTTCATACTACTCCCATTCTTAACACCTGGAATTAGGCTCCTGCTTTCTCCACTGAGTAGTTTTTACCCTACTGAAAACTGATCTTTTTTACATTAATTGCTAGCTATCCCTGAAACAGCTGATGATTTTTGCAAGTTTACTTTGTAGAAATTTAAAGCCTTGTTCCTTTCCAATAGCCTTAGCAGTTTATTCCTGCCTGGAGCCAAGGCTACAGCTACACTGGATAAAGGTGACCTCTCTGCAATATGACCAACAGCAAGTATATTACAAATCTGTCTAATGGTAAGACTATATAATAGGAAATTATTCTTCTGCAACACAGAACAGCAAGTATGATACTCACAGGTGTTTGGATCATCATGGCTCTTTGATCTCTCATGGTTCTTACTATATCTAACGGATAAACAGGCTGATTGCACTCAATGAGACACATAGCTGTCTCCATAGTGATAAGAACTCCTGTCCGTCCAATTCCAGCACTGAAAAAACCAAGAAAAAACCCAAAATGGTAAATTAAACAGTGTCTGGAATATAGTTCATACTTAAAGACCTTCCTTCTCAAGGATTCTTGGGATTGATCATTATGATTCCCACACTATTAGGGCAGGGGCTAGACAGATTGTGTCAGTGCCACTGGAAGCATCCATGCTGCCTGAACAGGGCAAAAACCACTCAGTGCAGATTGTCAGTCCGTTGAAGAGGGACTGTCTTACCCCAGCCATTCACCTGAGCAGAATTTACAAACAGGTATTTCCTCAGGCGGTATTATAAACCATACTAATACCTAGACAGTAACAAAACAGAGATACCTAGTAGCATACACTGCATGCTGCGCACTTCGTGTCAATTCAACCATCACTGGAATGACTGTTACTGGAATGTTGGGCTGATCTGACAAAACCATGTTCATTGTCTTGAAGTGATTCATTTCTTCATATTTCAGAATAAGGAATAGAACAATTACTAGAAACTTTGGAGGATGACAATAATGGTAATTTTCTTACTATTAAAGAGATCTAACTTGTGTAGATGGAAAATGAGTACATAATGGCAATCCCCTTCAAGACAAGGAAGAACTGTCATGCGTACATCTCAATGGCAAAATTGTTAGGAGGCCTTACGTGAATCATCTTTAGCTTAAAAATAAAACAAACCTAAAGATTTATCTGCATTGTGTTACATATACACACACTTTCCACAAGCAGCAATCCTCAAGGACTGAATATTTAAACCTTGAACTTGAAAATTAGTTTCAAATTAAAATTTTTCATATTCAAGAAAATTATGTTACACTTCTGAAATAGAAACCCAATGTTTTCTCCATATCTTAATACAGGCCCAAATCCATATTTTCAAATGCCAGCCTTATCTCAACTCATATAACTAGTATTTCAGTCAATAAATGAAAGTGTTTCCTTCTAAACTAGAATACAAACAGCTGAAGCTTGAAACCTAATTGTTCTGATTTTGAAGCATAGCTTCAAATTACTTCTGGCCGAACTACTACTTTAAATCTTTGCCCAGAAGGTGGCATTAAAGCTACTATATATTTCAGTGATGTCATGAGAATTCTGACAAGATGTAACTGTGCTGGTTACATAAATTTTTGAATAGCATTTTATGGTTCTAGAATTTATATGCATAGAACTTCTACGCAGAACGCTTCATCGAATCCAAACAGGAACAGTATCTGTCAAAGAACCTAATGACCCATTTTACAACTTCAAAAGATTCAAATAAGGGCAACAACAATGATGGAAAGTGTGATAGTTTCCATATAATAAATGTCAGGTAGGCTGGGACTCTTCAGCTTGGAAAAAGAAATTATTGACTGTTGGAGAGGAACAGACAGGACAGGAAAAGCATGAAGGGCACGGACAGGACAGGTGGCTCACCATCTCATCTAGAACAAAAATTAGGAACAGTTCAACTAAACTAGCAGGAGCCTTGTAAAAATAAAACCAAACACATTAACACAAGCTTGGAAACCAATGTTTTAAGTAGTGAAACATAACAAAAAAAACTTTCCAACTTAAGTTCTTCGTTGCTTTTACAATCTCTGGGGTTATTTTGGTTTGTTTTTAAACCAGTACTGTACAAAAGAAAACTCTGCTCTACTAGCTACTTGGATTCCTCACGCTAAAGCTGGTGGCTCAGTTCTGAAAAAAAGTTTCACCATTTTGTTACACTAATGCCCTCTTGCCTGAGACTGAACAGACATTAAAAATAGTGCGCACACACCACACGTACCCCTGTGCTTCCTCAGCTGGACACACTACTGGAATGCAGTTATACTTCCCAACAGCCACCAAGTTGGGCCGATTAAGTAAATTACATTGAACTGTGATACTCCCTCTCTTCTGTGAAGCACAACTGTTAAAAATGTTGGTAATGAAATTATCAGTGCAAAACAGAATTGATGCCTCACTGGAGAGTATGAGCAGTTTTCTTCATCTCAAAGTTGTTGTTCCAGTGGCTCTGCAGCCTTGCACGCTTTGTATTTTAAAAGCTGTATTTGGCTGATGTTTTCACCACTGGTTCACAACCATATCAGCCAGAACTCTATCAATTATGGGAGTTGAGGAACAACATGATCTAAGACAGTGGCATTCTGGTACTGGTTTTCCTACTTAACAAGATTCACCCTGACCAGCATAAAGCAGAAGAGAGCAAAACCAATTAAATACAATTTCTGATACACAAAGTGTTAAAAAGAGAAAACATTTTTCATTCATCTTCTTTAATAAACTTCTATCTCACTTGTAGATCAGAGAGTCTTTAAACTGATTTTACCCCTCTCAGCTGCTCTCTGAAAAAGGAACAATGCACACCTGACTCAGGAACACCGACTGTCTGGGGATTATTTTGGAATTGAGAGGTCAAATTTTATTTACAGAACTACTCACTAAGAATTAGCACAGCACATGTTCACCTGAAGACATTTGCCGTTATGCATTGTTATAGTTTATTAATTAGGTATTTTAAAGGATTAAGATTTTAAATTTGTTCTATGAAGGTAGAATGCTATTAGAAATTATTGCACAAGAAAAAAAATTTCATGTGTACATAAAAAACTGGTTAAGTTATTTTAGTTCATGACAAAAGTAAATTGTTGAGAAAAATGCATCATCTGATTGTATGTATCAAAATATCACGTAGCCTAGGACTGCAGACTTGAAAGAAAGTGTCTTGTATTTGATCACTGCATATGCCACCCACATTTTCTGCTATGGATTATTTCCACAGCAATTCTGGAATTCTGTAGAATAGTCACCATGAGGAAAAGGTTCCTAAGTCTCTTTCGCCATCTCCTTCAACTGTTATGCAGACTGCTGGCACAAGCATTTAAACTGTAACCAACAAAAAACCCATCAAACCAACAAAATCCCTGCACACATCAGTGCATGTAGATACTCAAAATTTCACTTACTAAAACATGATGACAATTTCAGGTAATTGTTTCATTTAAATATTGAGTTCTCCTGTCATCCCCAAAGCAGATACAGAAACTGGTTATTTCAATAACTCAGCACATAAAACCTATTTGATAATAAATAAGTTCAGTTTGATGATTTCATAAAGTTGGAAAAAAATGGATACCTGCAATGAACAACCACAGGTTCTTCTCTGCCAGCCCTCTTCTTTCGCACAAGACACACAAAATCTAGGAAATCGCTGGAATCATCAGGAACCCCATGATCAGGCCATGCTATATACTGGATTTGGGTGAGTTGGCGGCTTTCCTCTTTCTAACCAGAAACGAAGTTTATTCAAAAGGTAATTCAGGTCCCAGTAAAAAAAAAAAAGCCAAACATAACAAAAATCAATGGTACATTTACAGCAACTTGTACCCGTAATACAGCACTTTATTAATAATAATCATTGCTCATCCTGAATTTTTATGATTATCTTTATTTTCTTTCTTACAAACAAAAAAGGCAATCCACAAATATTTACCTCTCCACAGGTTAAAAAAGTATTACACCCCATGTAAAAGCAAAGCAGTTCAAGGATACCAATGATCTATCTGAATACTAGACAGATGTACAACAAGGTGTTCAAATTTTTAGCAAAGCAAATTTAACAGAAAGAGGTACTACCCTACTAGATCAAATGACACCACTGGGGTAGGGAAGGGACTTTAAGACGTAAATCTTTTCCTGCAGACCCTGCGTGAACAGCAGCATGGTTTTGGCTCTATCTACCCCTCTTAATTTTATCCAGCATACTGTACGTAAGATGCAGAATCACTGTCTTCCATTCCCTCCTACTACTTGCTCTAGTATCACCAACATAATCTGCACGTGGTTAGTGGAGGGGACAGGCGATACAATCAACGTAAAAACAGCATTTCAAAGAACAGGAGTTACCGCACTTTAAACAACCTCTGGGCACAGCATCATTCATAGAGGTTCCACTGCTGATAACAAATGAGCAATTGTTTCAACAGGACACAGGGCAAAGAATTTTTACTGCAAATTGACTAAAAGGCATAAAATTGTCACCTCATCTGGTAACCCAAACAGTAGGAAATGAGTACATCAACTAAATTCCAGATACTCATTTCAAAAAATTTCTGAGATGGAAATCTGAGCTGGGGAGGCTCTGAAAACTACTCGTGCCCTGAAAATCATGCCATGCGTGTTCAAGATGATCCTTGTTTACAAATAGTATCCAATCCCAATTCATCTTTCTCTCAGCAGGATTTCTCTTCCATCTACTTGCACATATTCTCCAATCTGGAATTAAGAACTGTTTGGCGCTACAAAGAGAGATTTTCAGTTGCAATAATGAAATACCTCTACTGTCTCATGTTTTGAAAACATTGAATGAATAATGAATCTCTCAACTTTGTCAATTACTCTTCTCTTTGTCCATGGCATGAAAGACAACAGTAAAGACTTTTAAGACAAATGATACATGTTCTATGTGATTTAAAACCAACTAATATATTTTCCTAGTAAAAGGTTTGTTGAAGAGCAGAATGTACACTAGGTAACTACATGGCAATATGAGTAGTTCTCCAAAGGCTTCCAGAAGAATAAACAGTTCTATTTATGTGGATATGCCACCAAGTTGAAAAGAAAGTCCAATTAAATAAGTTTTAGCTAGTCTGTGAGGATTTTACCCATTAAGACTTAAAAATATAATTTTACCTCCAGATTAGTCAATGTCATTTCTCGAAAGACATAAGCAGGATTTCCTTCTTCTGAATGGCAAGTGATCTGGAAATTCCCATATGATGAGCTTCCTGATGGCTCTGGCCAGTACTGATGGCATTTAACCTACAGGTCAACACATTTTTAAAGATGCCTGTGTTTAAATTCACAGAGTATTCGTTTCACTGTCTCTAGTTCATTATAGACCATATTGAACATCATGTAATCATTACCAATTTACTTACCAAATACACTGTGTTACCTAATGACTGTTCATAAAGTAAACTATCACAGAGATTTCCTGGTTCTCTTTTCAAGAGGACACATGCACCAGCTCTTGAAGTGACTTTAACTGAAGATGGATGCTTTTAACTTTCTTTGAATATTTATAAATATATTTTTTTTTAAATTGTAATCTTAACACTTGAGTGACAAAGATGCTGCTTTAGAACCATTTCTGACCTCCAGAATCCTAGTCTAATCTTCTCAAAGCACATTTATATGGGAAAAGAACAAAATAAAAAGTGGTGATAAGCAACAAAGCAGTTGTTAAACCAATGTAGAAATTAGGGGGATGCAGATGGACTTCAAAGACTCTTGATCAAGTCACCAAATGTGAATGAAAACTTCAAACACTAAGATTTTTCAGATATATTGTTTAAACACCTAATTACAGAGGTCATTTCAGCTCAAGTGTACTTTTGTTTTTCCAACCCACCTGGCGATTCTTTAAGAGCAGCCAGATTTGCAGACTTCCTGCTCCACTGAGACACCCCGGCATGCAGTGGGATAGTGACGTCAGTAGCCTCATGATCAGCTTTAGAGCAGGGAGTCTGCCTATGGGTATAAGACAGATAAGTCCTTTTATTTCATTACTAAGCAGCTCTCCAAAGAACTCCACAAATATCATTATTGAAGGGGTGGGGGAACATCAGAGAACTGCTATTGCAAGTCTGTTCTCAGCAGATCTGCTAAGAAAACTCAAATTAAAAGCGCACTTGTACTGAAATTCCCTCTAATCATGTTTATTTGGAAGCAGGGAGCATCATGCTAACATTATGCCACTGAAAAAATGGTTTAAAACACTGCATCTTCCCTTCAATTTTAATTGTATTTTGAGGCCTGACCTCTCAGCAAATACACAGTTATTAAACAGTCAGAATATATAGAGATGGCTGAACTACAGACTTAGTTGATCAGAACACCCACAAGCTACTATAAATCCACCTTCAAAAGAAATCCTCAGTGTGGAGAAATTCCACTAAATTATTTCCCAGACTCTCATTTCTGTCCACACACCCAACCAGCCAGCACTGTGAATGCTCCAGACTATAAACCCAGTATCTCTGGAATTACACCATGTGTATGACTAGATTTGATTGTTGTGCCTGTCTCCAAAGGACAAAGTTGCATAATAAACAAAACTATTAAGGAGAAACTATAGCTTAAGAAAAACATGAAAATAAATAAACAAACCACAAAACCCCAAACAAACCACAAAACACACCTGAGGCCTTTTACAGCACCATACACCATTACTTTTACTAATTTCTAACTTTAGAAGTAGAATACTAGTAATAAAATAGTTACACATTTTTGTATGGAAATGACTTAAAGGACAATGATTCTTTCATGTGACTAAACAAATGTTTACAGCCACAGAAGAACATTTTATGAAAAATCTTAGATTTCAAGCTTATCAAGGGTTCTTTTAAAGACAGTCATTCAGGCTTGGAATCTTAACACTAGGAAGTTGTGTTAGGCTGTCTTATCTCTCTACATATCGAAGAGCTAATCTACAAAATCTGATGAAACTTCTTGGAGTTCCTCCACTTGAAGTTTAGAGAAAAAAATCCTATGAAGGTAAACTGTAGTTGCTTTTCACTTTACAATAAAGAATCAGAGAGACCTAAAAATATTTTAAGAAATATGTGAAGATTTCCATGTAGTTTTGAAGTGATCAAAGTTTAAATATTAGCTATGTTAACTGTATCAAAAGGTTTAAAATGTAAGAGTCATCATTGCAACAGTACTAGGAATGTACTACCTTTATGAAAAAAGGTCACAGTACCATGGAACAGTTTGATCTGGAAGGGACCTTTACAGGACATCTAGTCCAGCCTCCCTGCCATGGACAGGGACATCTTCAACAAGATCAGGTTGCTCAGAGCCCCATCAAACCTGAACTTGAGGGTTTTCAGGGATGGGGCATCTACCACCTCTCTGGGCAACCTGTGCCAGTGTTTCACCACCCTCACTGTAAATAGCTTCTTTCTTATGCCCAGTCTGCATCTACACCCTTAGTTAAAAAACATTACCTCTTGCTATATGTCATAACAGCATTTTCCTCTAACCTTTCAAAGGCTAATCACCAACAGATTACTGAAGATTATTCAAGTAGTATTTAAGGAAATCTTTTACTTACTCTGCCCCGTTCAACTTGGGTTGTTAACATTACAACCATAGATGAGCCTTGTTCCCAAGTCATCTGCCAAAAGTCAGGACAAGTGTTCGGTAACGGACCTTGACAAGCAATGTACTGATTTATTATTGTGGAAGAAGGGATTTCCATCTAAGAGAAGACAAAGTCATTATTTTAATTTTACCAGCAAATATAAGTTAGGCATCAGACATTCAGTGTTTAGTAACTAATACATTAAAAAAGCATCAACTATACTAATTCTGTTTATTACAAGTTAGCAAATATGGATTGGCACACATAAAAATTTTTCAAAGTGTTTCACACACAGAATTATTACAAAGATCACAGTATACCTCACGTGTTAACTGACAGTTACACAGTTGTTGTAATCAAGATTAATAATTGAAAAAAGAAATGATAGACAAATGATGGCAAATAATTCAGGTACAAACATTTCATGCTCTGTGGGTTTCTGACACTAGCTTTTAAAATACTGATCTTGGAATTTAATTTAATCTGCTTTTTGGTCCTGAAAGGAAAAGTAAGGAGCTGTAATTCTGTTGTTACTGCCAATGAAAAAAATAAAAAGTAAGAACTGCTGCCAGATAAATCTTTACTCATGTTGAACATTACTGCAATATCAGTAATCAGAGAAGAAGAATGAATTCCTCTGGTAGAAGGCCAAGTCCTCTTAGCAATTTTTCTTTTTCTTGGTTTCACTTATGAAAATATCTGCCACAAAGCATCAGCAAGTAAGTATAACTCCAGTAAATTTCAAACCATCTGATTACAGGTTTATCAGCCATTCTAGTCTGAACTAGATTTATAGAAATATCTTTTTTAATCAACTTCTCCATTGAGAAACTGCAAAACTAATGTCAGAAGCTCTTTTGAAAAATACTACTCACATTTATATAATTTGCATTGATGTAATCTTCATTACTTTTTAAAATAACCCGTGTAGCATCATCTGAAAAAAGTTTTAGAAAGATGTTACTTATTTACAAACTGCAGTCAAATACTTTTAGAGTGCACAGGTCCACACACACATACTTACAAGGCGAAATGTCTCTGTATCTATTTTTGGAAATGTTTTGAGGTAATCTGGCACAAGACATTGTCATTCCAGGCTTTTTCCTATATAATTGCTAAAAGACAAAACCAATAGTCAGACCACAATAAATGCGAGAGACCCATTAGCGTATTATTTGCCCAGAAGGCCAACCGTATCCTGGGCTGTATCCGGAGAGGTGTGGCCAGCAGGTCCATGGAGGTGATTCGGCCCCTCTACTCTGCTCTGGTGAGACCCCACCTGGAGTGCTGCATCCAACTGTGGAGCCTTCACTATCAGAAGGGTATTGACCACTTGGAGCGAGTCCAGAGGAGGGCCCCGAAGATGATCAGAGGGCTGGAGCACCTCTCCTATGACGAAAGGCTGCGAGAACTGGGCTTGTTCAGCCTGGAGAAGAGGAGGCTCCGAGGAGACCTCATTGCAGCTTGCCAGTATCTGAAGGGGGCCTACAAGGGTACTGGGAGAGGACTTTTTACAAGAGCCTGTAGTGATAGGACAAGAGGTAATGGGTATAAATTGAAATCAGGGAGGTTTAGATTAGACATCAGGCAGAAACTCTTCACAGAGAGGGTGGTGAGGCACTGGAACAGGTGGCCCAGAGAAGCTGTGGATGCCCCATCCCTGGAAGTGTTCAAGGCCAGGCTGGATATGGCTTTGAGCAACCTGGTCTAGTGCAAGGTGTCCCTGCCCATGGCAGGGGGGTTGGAACTAGATGATCTTTAAGGTCCCTTCCAACCCTAACCATTCTATGATCCTATGATTATTTGCCCAGAGGTACTTTTTAGAACATAAACTAGCGAGCAACGGTAGCTTCAACACACATGAAACTACTTCTCAGAAGAAAGTACTACACGTTCAGTTACGCTGTGGGATCACTGAACATAATCAAGACATTACAATTTGTTTAAAGACAAACTGAACCTTCCATTTCAAGTTTCCAGAAGAACACTGATCCAAAGTCAATATCGTATGTCAGTATGGTCATTTCAAGTTTCCAGAAAGTCAATATCGTATGTCAGTATGGGAATTTACTGATAGTGATATACCACACCATGATTTGGGGCCAGCTGATGGTGTTGTGATTAGACATCTACCTACACTGCAACTGTTTTACTCCCCCTCCCCACCGACATATTTCAATAACTGTAGAGTGAATCCTGAGCTACCTCGTGATTTTTCTGCACAAAATCTCCGTCGAGAGGTTCCTTAGCCATCCTTTTCCATGACCCTTGTGCTGCAAGCAGCAGCAGTGAAGTGATCCAGGTTCAATAAAAAGCACTTAAAACTTTTAAACATTGAACCTGTTTGGGAGACTGAAAATGTATGGTCAAGGGGAGACTTTAAATCACATTAAGAAATTGCTGTCTTTCTATATATAAAAGTAAATTTTACCAAAGTTCTTAAAGGACAGTATATAAATATATTTCATGAATGTATGTTGTTATACATAATGCTAGGTCACCACTTGGTGAGGAAATCACAGAATTCACACTGCTGTGTTTTACAGACCTACTGCTTCCTGCTTTTAAGTCACTTGATATCATGCACTGAAGACTGAACATCATCAAGGCACAAGTTAGTGCTAAAATAAGACTAGAGCTATCAGCAGCTTTGGACCCCACAGGAAGTACATTGCTCTTTTCAACTACTTCATTAAAAAATCACCTATAAAAGACATTGTTACATTAACCCTGAAGATTAGGACTGTATTCTCCATTTTTAATTTCACCTTCCCTCACTAAGATTGTCCATAGTATGTCAACAACTCAGCTGTCACTCAGTCTCTACACTAACTTCAATACGGAATAAAGGTCTGAGTACAAAACACATTCTGATATACATTTTTTCAGGCTTAAACTCTATGAAAGTATTTTATTAGCATAGGTGTCTGATAACCACAGAAAGCTCTAAGTAATTAATAAAGATATTTATAACAAACAACACTAAAAACTAGTATTAGGATTATTCTAGGCCATAAATTTGCACAGACAATACACGATTGGATTTTTTTTGTTATCCTTCTTTTGAGAGTCTAAAATGACAGTTTTTCTAAAAGATGCTGACTACTGAAATTTTAACTGAAATCTTCTCTGCTTAAAATAATTACTATCCCAAGAGACTTGGAATTTGTACACAGCTACAGGCAACACAGTACTCACATCAAACTGAGCCAAAACAGTTCCAGTGATAAGCCCCTCTGCTAGCTGAATCATGGATTCCCTCAGAGCATTATCATCTTGATGGACACCATCAAGTGGAGATTTCTCAGGGATGTACTGGAAGTCAGGCTCACTCTCCAGCTTCTCTTCCACAACATCATAGACAGCTGTAACAAAGGTGTGAATGCTCTGACTGAACATGCTATTTGTCAAGTAAAGTCTAAGTCATTTATTTGAAACAGCAAAAGAGACGAGTATTTCTCCTGTTATAAATCCACATTTATTAACACACTGATTTTAGCCTCCAACAGTAAGGGCAAGTAGCCTTATTGATCATTATAATCCATGACAAAACTATTTCTTTTTTTGGCTTAAGAGTAATTTTAAGTGAAAGCACATCACTGACTACTAAAATTTTGATCAAAACTCCTCTTATACTGTTCCTTGTCTGATGTAACTCCCTAATCTCAGATTCTCACACCATGCTTCTGAAGTCATAGTCACATTTCCAGTTTACTTTTAAGTCACTTTGACCTGATTTTAGGCTTCAGTAATTATGGCAAGATGTGCGGACCACCTGAGAAAATGGCACTAATATATGCCATTCTAATGTTATCAATGCAGTGTGCATGCCTTGCCTGGAAATAAACTGAAAACCAATATGCATCTTCCTCTGCACACTGGAGACCTGTGCTGACTGAAGCCTGTTTTGAAATGATATCCCATGAGGGAAGAAACTGGCACCTCCTCCCTTCTGTAGTTTTTTATCCAGACTACAAAGATAATCCAGAAACAAGGGGAAACTGCTACAATGAATTTGTAAACAAAACTAGGATTTTTCGCTGAAAAAGAAAGTAAGCACACAAAAGCTGCAGAGAACTTACATAGAGAACGAGAGCACAAGTAAGTGGGAAGTACAAATAAGCGAATAAAGGAAAAATTGATTATGAGGTGGCTGAGGTACGCTCCTAAGGTAATTTCAATTATTCCGACAAAACATCATGATTCTTCATATTGCTTTTTCCTCTGCAACTGGGTTATAATTGGGATGTGCAGCAAAATTAAATCCAGCGACCACCTGCTGGCAATGCTCCAACAGTGTACTTCAGGAATATACTGCACAAGCTGTTATTTAGACTGCAGTTTTAGCACTTTATTAAGCCTCCTCAAGTAGAAATGCTACTGGTTGTTCTGGATTGGTTTAAAAACATATGGAAAGATTTTACATATATCAACCTCCAAAGTCATCCAAACACTGGGTGTTTGGTATGGGGTTTTTGTTCGTTTGTGTTTTGTTATCTTTAAGGAAATAACAGCAACCTCAGAAACTGCATTCAATAGCCATATAGCTTTCTGAGCATTCTTATCAACGTGAGTGAAAACAAAATTTAAATTAGCTCTCTGTTAGAAATATTTGATATCTGACTTGCTTATTAATTTTCAAGACTTAGTTACACACAGCTCCTCAGAAGTATTGGATTGACCAAGATTTGTACAATACGTTGTGTTACTGCAATTCCTTTTCAAGGGAGTTCTTTCATACCAAAATGTCACGCATTCCACCTCAGGACACAAAACGGAGGTTAGAAAAGGCAAGGTGTGGATTCTTCTATTATTATTACATACAAACCACTCACCATTGGGTCGAACTAGGAGCACAAGTTCCCCTGAGTGTCTCTCACAGCTAGCTTTAATAAACATAACAACTTGATCATGGGTATGTTCTGCTATATCCCTGCCGTTAATCAGTACAACCTGGTCCCCTTCATTCAGACGAGGGACACAAAGATCAGCCTGCAAAGTGAGGGGGAAAAAAAAAAAAGTCTGTAGAACAAGCCATTTCCAACTTCTCACGTTAAAATAGCAACTGAAAGTAACTATAACTGGGGACTTGAATCCTAAGAGCCTAGTTGCTATGGTTGCTGCATTGTATTCAAACGATAAATTTAATTTTTACACCATCCACAAGACAGTGTCATTCATGTGAACAAATCAATCTGCAACTGGGAGGGGACTGTCATTGTAACGTGTCTTTTGGCAGCTGTTACTGCACTCCTCTGGCTGAAGCAGAAAGCTCCACTGCCTGAGTCACGTTGTGCAGGCAATTAAAAAGCATGACGTTCCTATCTTTGAAGAGAAAGGAGTAACACAGTAAAGCCTTGTCCAAACCAATTTCACAGGCCTAAGGACTCCAGGTGTGAAATATCGCAGCTGTAATGACAAGAGTAAGACAAGGACCACAGACAATGCACAAATCCCAGTAATTCCAGAGAGAGGAATCAGGTAATAAAAACCATTATGAGAATCACAGTCTAAATGTCACTGCAGAAAAGAAAGAGCATATGCCGTGACCAAATACCATCTTAGAGAGTGAACGTTCAAAGCATTCAGCCAAAATTATTGATGATATTAAATACTTCAGAGATAATAATTAACAGGGACAAGACCAATGCCCTTCGCAAACATTGTAGCACTTTCAAACAGTAAAAAAAGGCTGGACTTCATAAATGTTCACAAATAAACGGTTCACTCTAAAAGGTATGAACAGAGCTGACTCCAGTCAGCTGAGTATCAGGTCAGTATTTGTCGCAATCAACTGACAAAATACTGTGCCTAGTTTGAGGACACTATTGATAGTCACTAAACACCAGTAACAACAGACAATCAGACCTGATGAGATTCATGATGTCTGATTTTAATTAAATCTTGGCTTTATTCAGCTACATCTGTCACTAAAATGAGAAATTTGCTATTTCAGTTATTTTTAACATACTAAAAGACCCTTTCAATATACAATTTATGTGAAATTTTATGAATGCTTATATTTTAAAAAAGTAATAAAGTAAATCTACTTTTAGTATGACATAGCTCAAGAAACAGCACACACCGAACATTTGTAACTCCCTGTCAGACCTGATGAATGATTCATGATGTCTGATTTTAATCTAAATCTTGGCTTTATTCAGCTACATCTGTCACTAAAATGAGAAATTTGCTATTTCAGTTACTTTTAACATACTAAAAGACCCTTTCAATATACAATTTATGTGAAATTTTATGAATGCTTATATTTTAAAAAAGTAATAAAGTAAATCTACTTTTAGTATGACATAGCTCAAGAAACAGCACACACCGAACATTTGTAACTCCCTGTAACTTTCTGGAATTAAATTTTGTTTCAGTAAGAAAAAAAGATATTTTTAAGGATTGAAGAACTTTTATAAGTGTTTTGTAGCCCCATCGAATTCTTACTGCACATAATTTGCTTTGTTAGGATAATGATATAGCACAAGCTAATTTTCACAGGCAGCTATGTAATAATTTCCAGTTTTGAATACATACTTAAAGATACACCGATACTGCTACCAAGTTTGGCTTTTTGATAACTTACAGGTGTTCCTGGAGCTACCCTGGACACTATGACCGGCATCTTCTGATCATATCCACCCTTTAAAAATAAATTAAATTAGTAATAAATCACACATGTCAGAAAGTAATCTTAACAGACACAAAAGGAATAGATATACTTTTACCTTTACATTGAAGCCAAACCTTCCATTTTCATCTGGTTTCATTCTGATCATAACAAGATTGTCATGGGGGACACCACCATTGGGCTAGTAAACAAAAATTGTATTATATTAATACAAATTCTGTCATAGTTAGACTTTAGGGTTATAATATATAATATTCTTGCATTTTCCTTATCAAGTAATTGCTCCTGGACACTTCAGAAAACATCAAGTACTAGTGCAAATACCCCAACTTAAGTTTTGCATAGAAACTAAAAGTTACACATTTAAAAGTCTTGGACATAACTAAGTTAAAAGTATGTTCTATTAAAGCAAGCTGAAAGTAAGAAACAGTTTTAGAAAAGACTAATTGGCTTCAAGCAGTCTTAAGTTTACTATATGGAAACTCCTTAGATTAATTTTGTTTAAGACCACAGTGAAATGCCTGCAGGGAGATGGTAGTATGAAAATCAAGGTAATCGAAGGTACACTGTTGTTTCTGTTAACAGCAATATGACAGCAATATAGAGAGCAAGGACAAGTTTGGCAACAAAATCTTGGTTCCATATTCCATATTCCATTTCCAACGTTCAGGAGTACACATGCTGTGCCCTGACCAAGATCCCACAACTTTAGCTGCCTGCTTTCTGACCGCACCACTAACTGTTAAAGGAACTACCAATAAACTAGGGAATACTACATACTTTTTTAATCTGGAAAAAAATCAACTTAGTGCCACTGAAGTGCTTTTTAGTTTGTTACCATCAATGTTTATTTCACAGACTGAGCATGAACTAGTATTTCTACAGTTTATATGGTGAGGATATGAAGTATTATTAAAGAAGTTTGTTTCTCAATATCAGAAGGATATTGACCACTTGGAGCGAGTCCAGAGGAGGGCCACGAAGATGATCAGAAGGCTGGAGCACCTCTCCTGTGACGAAAGGCTGCGAGAACTGGGCTTGTTCAGCCTGGAGAAGAGGAGGCTCCGAGGAGACCTCATTGCAGCTTTCCAGTATCTGAAGGGGGCCTACAAGGGTACTGGGAGAGGACTTTTTACAAGAGCCTGTAGTGATAGGACAAGGGGTAATGGGTATAAATTGAAATCAGGGAGGTTTAGATTAGATGTCAGGAAGAAATTCTTCCCAGAGAGGGTGGTGAGGCACTGGAGCAGGTTGCCCAGAGATGTTGTGGATGCCCCATCCCGGGAAGTGTTCAAGGCCAGGCTGGATGAGGCTTTGAGCAACCTGGTCTAGTGGAAGGTGTCCCTGCCCATGGCAGGGGGGTTGGAACTAGATGATCTTTAAGGTCCCTTCCAACCCTAACCATTCTGTGATTCTATGATTGATTCTATGATTCTAGGAAGTTTTAATGTTACCAGTTACAGCCAAAGCATAAGACTCATGTTTGTTTGTTATTAAAAGCAAACATTTCTGTACATAAGAAAGTTCAAATAGATTCAATAGGTAAAAGAAGTCTGCTCAAGCTGGCTCATAAAAAGTTAATTCCACGTGTTTTCAGCTCTTGATTAAAACAAAACACACACCCCACACCACCCCGAACATGTTCATAGTAATGAAAAGATGAGAAATTTGGAGACAGACAGGAAAGTAACAGCCTAAGATATGTTAAGGAGAAAGAAGGGTGCTTAGGAAGCCTGATCACATGCAAATCGTTGTAGCCTGTGCTCACTGGCACACGAGAGCAGACTCAGGTTCCTGGGTAGAATGACCAATCACCAAGCGCTCACCTACAGCGTTTGGCAACTTTTGTGCCATTGCATTCCCCAGACAGAAAGGGGATAATAATTTTCTGTGTTAATAGGCTATTTTGAACAGCAGTTTACAACGAAAAAGCTGAAGAGAGCACTAGGTAACATCATTAACCTGTTTGCCTGAAGGGACTTGTGGCCACACCTGTTTTCAAATACTCCTGGACATTCTCAGACTGGATACTCAGGGACTGGAGATGGAGTAAAAAGCTGTCATTCCCCTACCTGTCCTACTACCTTTCTAAATAGATTGTCCATACATACAATGGATGAAGGAAATTCAGTAGCTAAATGAAATCAAAATGATGATGGTTTTTCCTTAAAATATTTGAGATGAAGCAGCAGAAGAGCCTTTAGCGGTGGAGGAACCTGAAGTTCATTCTGGTCAGAAAAGCAGCTTTGAAAGAACACACTTTCCAAATCCTAAATTTACAATTTCACAAAATTTCAGAGTCATGCTGCACTCCTTCTGCTCTGATACCCAAAATAAAAAGCCATCAGCAGACCAAATTAGATCTTCAATTACGACAGTGTACTGCCCTAAGCGAGGCTGCAAAGATGTGGCCCATTGGAGCACAGCAAACAATCACACTGACAATGCACAGAGAAAAAAGAATCTCATTCTCACACAGCTGTGTTGGCTTTGCAGAACTAAAAGGAGTTTAAAAAAACAACTGAAAGTTATTTTTGTCAATTTGGTAAAGATAACAGAATACAGAGCAGAAAACTTGATGAGTAGCATTGTATTTCCAAACCGAAGAGTACTTTAATACGGCTCAGGTAAGCACTGACAGAAGACAAAGCTGTTAAAATTTCTGTTTCATTATTTAACTACAGCAAATTTTTTTACAACATCCCCAAAATGCTCGTAAATTCACGTTTCACTTCCACGTGTTTTATTAAAAACCCAGCTATGAAATTAAATATGGGTTTATGAGAATCTTAGCTTTGTAACGAGGCCTAAGAGAACACTCTAGGCTTAGAGTTCAGAATGCAAATAAAAATAAACCAAAGGCATCTCTAAAATATCAATTTTGGGAGCTGACTCAATTTTGAATGTCTGAGGTTGGCAAAATTGTTTATACAGTATTTGCTACATGTGGATGTTAAACACCTTTCCCATGCTGCAAATGTTTCTTGTCTCACATCAGTACAGAACCAAGAACCATTTGAAAACTTTTGGAAGGACAAAAAATCCCCAAAACAGTCAGTGAGATCTCACCTCAGTCAGACAATAATCAACTGACTAGCTCATTCATCCAGCACATGCTTAGGTGTGGAAGAAGAACTTTTGCTCAGATTTTTACATCTGTTGGCACAGGTCTCTTGGTGGAGTCTCTTTCTTGGAATTTCTGATGAGAAATGCAACCATAGATTCAAAAGCCTCTCCTGACAAAACTGCTCTAGAGGCTGGCAGGCACTTTCAGCTTTTGGATGTAAACTAGATTAAACAGCAGTGGTAGGATCTGCACTGTCTTGTTTAAACTTGTTGGTAAACAACTTCTCAAAGAAGAGTTAGTTAGAAATTACTGCGTGTGCTGAAAAGCTTATGTTGAAAACGCAGCTCCATCCCAATGCAGTCACTCGATGACAAGTGACAAAGGACTACTCCAGCAGGTGGAAATAACAGTGGGAGCTAGCAAGGTGACAGTACGTAGAATGGAAATGCTGCAACATAACGCACCAACACAACAACTCTCTGAAATGCATCAAACCAAGCTCGCTCCAATGAACAGCAGAATGGTTAAACTAGATCCAAAAACTTACTGTGGATTTCTCAGGTGAAGCAGGAACATCAAACGACTCATTAATATGGTTATCCAGTTCTTGCTGTGAGTGCGAATGATGAATTTGGTTCCAACTGTTCTTTTTAAACTGTTTGGGTGGTAACGCAGGAGGCTGCCCATCTATAGGGGTCTCTTGAGATCTAAATACCGAAACAGAAGCATGGAATGAATAATCATGAGATATCGACAGTTCCAAACTGAAAATGCTAGAAGAAACTCAAGAGTTGAGAGCTGCATATCTACCTGTATTTTCATTACGTATTTTCAGAATCTCAAAGTGTAATGTGGTGGAATATACTGGAAGTATATGTTTGGACATGTTACTTTTCCTGACGAGCAACTGTACACAGAACTAGTAAGTTCATCTTTTACACAAGTTACTTTTAAATGGTTTTAGCACTCTTCACCCACTTTACATTGGGATATTATGAAATTCACTGTATTTATACTCTGCACTGTTGCTAAAAAGCTTTTTTTCTAGAATAGCTATAGCACTTAATGTTTTCCTCCTATCAATTAATTTGCATTTTCCTCAAAATCAATTAGCTTGTATATTACATGAATGTCTGCAATTTAAATCTTAAAAACAGACACAAGCAGCATAATAAAGTGCTCCCCCACTAATTTTTGGCTTTTGATCTAAAAATAGGAGGAGTTCCAGTTGAAGGCAACTCCCCCTGCACTTACTTGAAAAGCCCAGTGGAGATGAGAGTGCTAAATTTTAATTTTTCAATTTAAAAGTAAAAGTATACATTTCAAGAGAAGGTTGTTTTTTTCCTCCTCTTGAATATATTCCCCTTTGAAAAATGCACAGCTTTGAAACATTTGTAAAGATGACACCGATGGCATGCATTTTTTTAGTTGAGTTACAGCACCATTACTGAAAAAGTATCAGAAAGTTCTATTTCTGGTTTAGGTCGGCAAGCACTCTACTGTGGATTAATAAAAATGTTCTCTGCGTTTATGTATAATACAGATAATTTCCTTTATTAGACCTTCTGGAATAAAAGTTTAGCTGTATAATTCGTATTACATAAACACATCATTCATCTTCCATTATATGGCTTTATATTTGAGAATTAAGAAGAGCATTTTGAGAGGCCCAAAAGGGCAGTTAACACACAGTTCCCGTTAACTTAGTTTGAACGCCAGCAAGGACGCATGCCTTCCTCCCCATGAACCACATCACAAGGTACTACTGAGTGATTTAACCACTTACGACAACAGCCCACTGGTAACAGCGGCAAATCCAAAACCCACCGAGAATGAAGTTACAGCTTACAGCTAAACCTACAAAGAATGCTACCACCAAAAACATGTGTTGACCCACGGCACCCTCCTTGGAGCCCGGTGTCATCCATTGGATAAAACAGCTTACCAAGCAAGCAAATGCACAGGGGCATTTTGGACAAGCCTGGATAGGTATCTGCTAGTTGAACAAAGGGAACCGCTCCATCACAGGGTCGACCACCGCGCAGGGAGGGAAGTATACACCCAGAAGTCAGAAAGAGGACACTGTTCCTTTTGCTATCACCAAGCTGTGGTGGTAAGTCACAGCGTCACATCCCTCTAAAAAGGGACGGGTAACCACATAAGCAGTCCTACTGTATTGAACTGGTCTAGCCACAGCAAACTGTTAGCAGGGTAAGACTCCTACTGTGAGACAGCATAACAACTCAAGTTGCTGCAAGTTAGAAAACCTAAGGCACACATCAAATTCCACATCATACAATTTGTTTCTATGCAATTAAAGAAAGGCAGATCCCAGATGCATGTTTTCAAATTAAAAAAACCCCAAAACAATCTGATCACAGTTGTCTACTGTGATCAAATAAATCTGATTTCAAGTAAATGATGATCCTCTTTCAAAAAGCAAGAAAACTGAATGGGAAACAGAACACTTCACTTTGAAAAGAAACAGAGTTTACATTTCAGTTTTAAAAATCTAGTCAATTTTCTTAGAAAACAAGATACTGAAAAGTTTGTAACTGTATGAAAACAGTACCTTTGGAAAGTTCCTAACAGTATTTTTTCAGTAAGTTTTTGCTTAATCTCAACTTTCAGAAAATATTTTTTTAATGCAGTGTTAAAAGTAGAAAGGAGCACTAATATTCAGTATCTGATGCCTGAAAAATCTCACGTTCAAAACACACGAGGGAGTAAAAATTTCTTAAAGACTTTTCAATACAAATGAGAGTAAAAAAAGAGCATATTAACCTTATATTTTATTTTTCAGGATAAGTAGCTTTTCTAAATTAATGTTCATGGAGAAAGAGAAAAATATGATGATTGCCACCATTTGCAAAATGAATTTTCAAGGCAGCTATAAATTATTTAGACACTGACTTACAAAGGTCACCCATAGCTTTTTAACTGCCTATGTATTTATTCATTTAAGTCTGGCCAGCACAGATTATTCAGCCTTTTATATGTATTTTCCTGCAAACAATTACTTCTTAAGAGTTTTAAACTGAATAAAAAAGGAACAGAAAACATGAGTGGAGACACAAAAGAAGTCATTCGAATAAAAGCAAAAGATGGGATCTTATGTTTGACTAGATATCTGTACATACATGCCAACAAACACAAATAATTCCTATCAAACATACAAACTTATAGAAAAGATTTGAAAAGTTACTTAAATGAGCATTTTAGAAGCAGCAAAGCAAGTACTGTAATATATTAGCATAATGAATTGTGAGAACTAACAATCAAGCCTTGGGCAAAAACTTCATTGCTTTATATTTGCCCAGTCAGCTTTGAATTTCCTTATGAATGCTTAGACAATGGCAGTGAAAGCAGCCTATTTTGCAGGCAAAGCAGCTCTCTGTTACTGCATTCATCAATTTACATAATAATAACATAACACACAAACCCTGGCACTGACAAGCTTTGGGTACTTTTGTTACAGATATCCGGTCTGACCTTTTAATATATTAAGAAAAAGTTTCATACACACCCCCATAAATTTATTAAACTAAACATATATCATGTGTGTTTGTAATTTAAGGTTATAATTACCTCAGGGAACTACAAGCAGAAATCCCTCAATTTAGCTTTCAATAGCATATGCAGACGAAGACAAAGAAATGCGGAATTAAAGGTTGCATTACCTAAGCTGTAATACCCTTCTAAACTGCACTGAAACTCTTGCTGCTCCTGCTATGTTGACTCCAAACTCAGAGATCACAAAACCTCCTGCCAGTCAGGGTAGACCCTCTGCCTGTCTTACAGATGTAGATTTGATCAATTTCCCAACAAATTAGAGATGAAGTGCTCAGATGTTTTCACTCAGAAAGGTCAAATTGTTTAAGAAATAGCTTTTTCAGCTGCAGAACGATTTTAAATTATACAGCTAATACGAACTTCACGACTACTACTTTCTTTCCTAAATCTCAAATCTTGAATCAATAACATCACCAGAAACTTTCAGAAAAGCCTAATAGTATTTAAGTATTTTTGACAGTCAACATCCTCATTCTTAAAAATATCTTATGCTAGGTATCTATACTAGGAGATCGAATTCCACTCCTAAGATTCCAAGAAGGGAAATAACAAAAACATAACCCAAAACTTAGGGACGGAAGAGCAATAGTTTTTCTGTTTGGGCATAAAAAATGCAAACTCTTGAAAAAGAACAGCCATAGTTGCACAAGTAATTTACAAAACCACTTCCTCTTTTTTAAGGCTTATTTCCATGGTGACTTACACAAGAAATCAGGTATTAAATAACAAATCCCAAGGTCCCTTATAACTTAACTTAATGTAAAGGCATATGGATGCAAGAAAATTTAAGAATTGTGCTTACTTCAGTCTATCACTCTACGATTCAGTAAGTTTCTCGTAACTGACTCCTGTTGGGAAGTCTTGGAACAGACAGGACTTGACCCTGTGTGGTCTTTGTACAGCAAAACACCAGTAAGAGAAAAGACTCCCAAGTGTTCTGGTTTTGAGGCTCCCTTGCCATATGAATAGGTTAAAAAAGCCCACCAAAACAAGGGATTTTATACTATTAGGCCAACTTACTGTTTCATAACTCTGAAAGCTAAATAATTAGCTGATGGTCAAATTGTAACAATTGTACCCTATCATAAAAAAAGCATCTTGTGTCATTTTACAGAACTTCAAAATTTTTGTATTCTATTTCCCTTCCCAAAGTTTCACGCTGTTGTTAAAACTGAAGATACAGCCCAAGCAAGGGTTTAAAATTGTGTTCAAATACTTTCCCAGAGCAATTTTTCCAAAGACACACAATTTGTTTATAAACACGTAATTATATATGTGCTATTTTATAGTTCTAAAACGGTTTGGAAACCACTTGCACAATTTCCTTGCTAACAGAGATCATATAAAATTATGACAACAAGTTTAGCATTACATGTAGAGCTACACATAAGAAGGTACCATGGCAGAGTTAATAAGCTGTATATTGTGCACCTTTTTCCCCCAGTTAATCTGTCCTCAGGCCACAAGTCACTGAGTATTTCAAATCTTGGAATAACTCAACATGGTTTTGTTTGTCATTCTTCTGGACTCAGTACACAACAATAGTTTTCATTTTGCCCATCATGGCATACTAAACTTACAGCATCAAGAATATTCAGTGTGACAGAAAAAAAGCCCGAGAGTGCTATTAAGAAAATAAAAGTACACTCTAGAACAACATCCAAAACATACTAAGAACCTCAGAATGCTGGGGTGCTGAAAGGTATTTTGGCTAAGCAACTTGTAAAGCTCACTCATACTTCTGTGACATGGCAAAAAGCAAAATTTCAGGAATTAAAAACTTGTATCACAAAACAATATACTTAAGTTCTGTAAAATAAAAAAACCAAAACAAAAAAAAAACCAAAAAACCCACGAACTTTAGCTTCCACATCAAGACACATTACAGCAAACCCACGTTTTGGGTGGATGGGTGGCTGAGGAATTGTAATCCCACACCAGGAACATGTCAGATATACGTCTTTACTTCTGTATCATTTAATTTTCAGTGACACTTATACTATTACTCTTTAAACAACAGCTACCTTTTTATTACATTTTCCAGCTCTCCCTGACCCAAACATTTAATACTGACTTCTTAATGGCAACTATTTCTGACCTATGTTCAGAAGCCCCGCATGCTATCATACAGTAACAGCCAACTCACGGTGATGATTCCAGTATGATGCTATTAGCCTGGGTGGAAGATGGAGATCTGTGATTAACAAATGCTTCACTTGGGGAAGTGTGAACTACGTGGTCCACTAAATGTCCAACGGATGAAGGTCGTAACCGGGCTCCTTCTTGAGCGAAGGCAGAGTTGCGACTAAGAGGGAAAAGATAGCAGTGCAATGTGAAAAGAACGTTATTATTAATCTACATTTCTTACACCACCACAAAGGAATTCTAAAATAATTATTTCTTTCAGTGCAAGCATATGTTCATATACATATTTTTATTAAGTAATTTTGGACAATTTGGATAATTTTGGAGAAGCACCTAAAATTCACCCCCAAATATTTCTCTTCTCTGGAGCTAAATGTTCCAAAGAGCCACTCAGCACATAATTTGTCATGTTATTTGTGTCCATAATGCATTAATCCTTTTATTACATAAGTAAGTCATTCACATTAGAGGCAGACAGTCACTCCTAGGGAGAGAAGATTTGATGCTACTTACTGATTTGGGGTTCCAGGTGGAGACCGTGATGGTAGGCTCTGTGTTTCCAACCTATCATCAGACAGTGAGTTCCTACTCACTACTTCCCAGTCCATCCCACTCATTAATTTCCGTGCCAAGGGTTTACTGGGGGATCTAGAATATGAAAGTAAAATGACTAACCAAAATTATATGAGGTAAGAACAAAATTACATCAAATTCACCACAATGAAACAGTGGATGTTCTATCATAGGAAACCAAATTATACGGATAAAGGGAAATAGAATAGCGCAAAACTATATTTACACAGGCAGTTCTGTATTTTCTCAATATATTGTACTTCATTTTCTGTACTTTGTGCAAAAACACCAATGAAATACAGTCATGCCATACTGTTGACAGGGAGGAAGACAGGCAGCATGAAAGAGAAATCCACTGAATTTCACTAGGCATTTCTAATGCCTCAAATAGAATCTGACTCCAGCGTAAGTTCGGACCTCTGACTATTAAAAACAAAACAAAAAAACAACACCAAACCACAAGCAAACCTAGAAAACCTTTAAGTAACACAACTACTCGACCATCTCCAGAAAAATAAAACAATGAAACATCAGCTCCCCAAAAAATTCCCTGAAGAGTTTGAAGAACTAAAATTGGGGTAATCATCAACACGGAAACAGAGTTGCTGGGTTTTGTTTACTCATCAGGGATTTCCATCAAGGTGACATGCTTTCTTCCACAACACATTTTGGCACCTGTAAGGCAGATGCAATCATCCCATCAAACTTCTTTGTGGGTAAACAGACTTCATTTGCTTTTGTGCCAGAAATATCCTTCAGGTTAAAGGTTGTTATCGCCCGCGTTTTTGTATGGAAGCAATCGTATTTTCTACTCCTTGCCCCTTCTCAATATTGAGTAAACTTTTTCTTCTCTTGCCAGAGTCCTTCCACGATACCTACAAGCCCCTCTGCTGCTTCTTTCACCTATTTCTTCAGCAGAAATGAGACCATACTTGCAATCTCTCATGAAATGGTGTATTTCTCTTTTATACTGGAAATCATCAAATGAATCATCCAAGAATTGCAGTTGCTTTTTTCTTAGCATCACATGGGATGGTTCAGTCATCCTGCGACTAAACATACTCAGACTTTTGCTGTTTGTTGTTTTCAACTGAAAAATTCTTGAGCCAACAACAACAATTCTTTTAGACAATGCTTAAATATATGTCCTGTGTCTTTTGCATTACTGGGTTTTTACTTTACTTCTGCTACTTTGATGGTTATATAGTTCAAATTTCTCCTCTATTGTTACACAACCCTCTGTTGTTTCAGTGATACCTCAATTTCATCAGTCTTTGGTGCCAAGATCATTTCACTCCCATTTGCCTTTGTAGTCAATCGCTATTCGCTACTCTCCAGCCCTGCACAACGTGGCAACAACATATTATTGTTGTATATTGTATGTGCATAACTCCTCCATTTGTTTCCCCAGCTCCATACACCAGTATCACACAGCTTCTGCCTTTGCTGTCCTTGGGACACATGGTAACTGTTCTTGATCATCATTTTATCATTATGACCTTACTGATTTACTGAAAGTGCAAATCCAGAAAGAAATTTGAGAAATTAAGGAAGTACCCACACACTGATTACACCCTTCAGAAAACGAGAACCTTAGCTGCAAATACATTTTTGGTTCTCACGGAACTTAAAATGTAATGCAAGCCACCACCTTAACCAGACTGTTCTCAGCGTTATCAAAAAAAGTCTACAACAATAACCAAGCAAGCACCATATCAAACAATCCATCTTCACATGCAGAAACACCTACCTCTTATTAATGTCAATGGTGTTTGACACTGAAGGAGTGGTGATGTGCGTGGAGGGTTTGTTTTTGGTTTTATACACCCAAGCAGTTTTGCACGTGTGTTGTATGCTGCTCTGCTGCTCTAAAGACTTACTGAATAACAGCTGATGCATTTCAGACAGTTAAGTGAGATGCACTATTCTAACTGCTGTTTCAGGCCTTATTCCACTTGAGAAAAATCTAATACTCTAGTGATATTTGAAAACAGGGAAAACATCAACTATTTAATTCCTGAGAAAAATCAAATCCAGTTTCTCAGCATGTATTCTAAGCAGTATTAATTTGATTCTTGATACGCTGACAATGAAAGCAACATTTCAATTTCTGTAATTTGTTTCAAAGGTGAGCAACTCAAACCACTTAGGTATTTTTCTGAACAGGTGAAATAACAAGAAACTAGCAGAACTGAAATGCATGCTTAATGTTATCCATTCCTCACCAAAGCTATCATTAGCCAGACTTTGCTGGCAGCATGCTTGCAGCCAGCAGATTAGCACCAAGAGCCACCTCTGCCAGGGGATGGATTCTACTAAGCAAAGAACAGACTGAGGGAAAAATGCAGAGGAATATAATATATCCAGTCCTAAATTGGATAAATAGAGGACTGCAGATATTTTCTGACAGACATGCAAAGGCAGCTACTGAACCTTACTTATCTTCAATGAAAAAGCAACAAGTAGACTATAGGGAAGTTGGTGAAGTTTAACTTTTATTTTAATGTGCAAAACAGTGAAAGGGCACCATCCTTGCCTGTAAAAACCAAATTAAATTACAAAGAGAGACACAAAAGTACACAAGGAAGGGAAAACCAAGTTTATGCAAAAATTAAATTCTTGATTGCTTCAAGAAAAAGCCACCACATTGTATCTTAAATCATAGCTTGTAACTACATTTTTGAAAACTTCCTCAATCTATGCAACAAATGAGCATAACTCTAAAATGAGATGGATCACTTTCTTCCCTATCAGAAAAATCCAATGTTAAGAAAACTCACCTGTTATTGTGGACAGGGTCTGATCTTACAGAAATACCTTACTACCATGATAAACAGCTGCAGCGTTTATCAGCAAAGGTTCATTTCAATGATTTTATTAACAGCTCTAACCTCAGAGTCCCACCCACCCATGTTTGTTGCCTCCATTTCCTGTCTTTGCAGAAATTTCAAAGAAAAAATTACCACACCGCAGCACTGAAATTCTCAGTGCTCTGGCTTTTTGATACTAGTTATCCTGGCAACACTTCTGAAGTCTAACAATAAGTTCTGATTATCTTCTAAGATAGGCTGTGAAATATTCCTGCAAGTTTCTCCTGTATCACTAATTATTGCTTACAATATTCAAATAACTTCCTCATGCCAGAATGCAGCTGAGGAGATGGGACAGGGGAAGTAAGCTGTAAAAGACTTTTGTAATGCTTTGATAAACTTTGAAATTCTAAGTTCAGCATTTGTCTGCTTAGTGTGGATGCATCTACTGTACCCCAGGGCACTGCTAGTTAACAGAATAAACTATTTTCAGATTTCATTTTTGATATATCTCAGAGATATTCCTAAAAAAGGTGGAAGAATTCCTATCTATCTGAATAGGGAGATAAACCAAAACCTTTACCTGCCCCCACAATGAAGAACAGTCTTACAAACTGCAATACTACAGCAAAACCAGAAAAAAATCTCAGCAGTGATACTATGTAATGCAACTAAAAAGAAGCATGACACAAATGATATTAGCTCAGCTACGGTACGCAAAAGCTTTCCAAGACAGAATTTGTTTTGTGTCCCGCAGCCTGAAGTGCTAAATTGTCACAGGAGCTGGGAAAGAAAGACAGTATTGTTTGAGAATACAGCTGGGACTCTTAAAATAATTTCTGTCCCAGAAAGAAATATAACCTGGAGCCACAGCCTTGCTTTGTGTTTTGACAAGGAGTACAGGGAATGTGCTTCTCAGCTAAGCTGGCAACTGCTGCTTCAGACCAAGAGCCTGAAACTGTATATAGATCTGCAGGTACACCACAAATGACACATGCACTTTAAAGCAAACGAGGAATCATTTAATTAGCCTGCATAAATGCATGGTTGAAGATTGGGTTTTTGGAAAGAGAGATTGCAACTTAATGTTAGGGAGTTTGCAAACACAAAGGACTGAGATACCCACTCATGATCATACACTGCACGTAAACTGCTTTCAGCTCGAGTACACACCATCAGAACTGAACAGAATCAGAACTGCTTGCAAGGACTGTAAGAGAGAACAGTGCTCTTCAAGAAATCTCCCAACTCATGACTTGGTGGAACTTTTTCCCTTTTCTTATCTACTTTCACTTTTACTATGGGAATTCTTACAGGTTTCCTTGGGTTGGGAATATCCTGCAATGAACGAGGCCAAGAGAATTGCTGTAATGAAGATGAAAAAAACCCCAAGTTTAAAGTCTAAACAGCTGCAGCAACAGTCTTCCAAACGCTGAAGTTAGTCTGTAATACATTTGATAAGTTCTGTAGATGTTCATCTTCATACAAGAGTAATAGATTCCATTTTTTAGAATTATTTTTTAAAGGATTTTATGATTTAGGAAAAAAATAGTCCATGAGTACAGCTTCAGCTAATTTTAAAGTAAAATCCTGTGGACAAACAGCTAAGCCTGCTAATTGTAGGCTGTTTGTTTTATTCAAAAGGCTGTTAAGAAATTTTATTTCTATGTCTTGTGCTCTGTATCTGTGTTCTGCTCAGTGTGTAACGGCTAGATGATTACTGCTTGTGGTAACCACCATTTCCCGCAAGTTTTTTTATTTTAGAATAAACTGAACACTCAACTAACATCACTGTGCAACTATGGGTGTTATAGTCTTACAATAAAATTATTCAAAAGTTTGTTTAGATAGTATTAGCTCATTTAAGGTAGTTTCTAGTTAGGTGCTGATGTGAAAACAGTGTCAATCTGGATAGTTCTAGAAAAAATAAACTGAAAACTTTTTTTCTTTTAACTGATCGAATAGATCTTCTGATGTGGTAATAATAAATGCAACAGTAATTACCTAAATTTAAATTCTCAAGAAAGACGTGACTGTAACTCTAGCATGCTCCTGGTTTCACAGCAAAAGGCAACCAATACCTAGCAGAACTTTCAAAAGCAACCAAAACAAGCCCACTGCTCGACAGATGAAGAAGCTCTTCAACAAGACGATGCAAAAACACACAGAGAAAGAGAGGCAGGTTCCAGGAACAAAACCCACATATTACCTATAAAACCCTAAAAATATAAATTAATTCTCTGTGTGAATACAAAGGTCTAACAACTACTCAGTATTTCAATTTGAAGTGTGTTTAGAAGACAAGGAATTAAAGACAATGTTCTCAGATTATGCTTCCTGAACCATATGATGTTCCAGAAATGTCTTATATTTCAAGTTTTTTCACCCTTAAAAATACTAGAAGTCTTTAAATTGGAAAATGCATTAATTGCACACTGTGATGGGGAGGACAGCAGAAGAAACAGGTCTATTAAAGCCTTTTGAAGTGTATTTGTTCCAATACACCATTAATTTCAGTTCACTGATGTACACATGTATCAGTGATCAACATTACTAAGCAACTCACAAGGTGAGGATGAATGCTTCCTTAAGCTAAAAGCAACAGTAGAAAAATAAGATTACTGAGGACAGAAGATCCAAGTATTTTATTAACTAAAATAAGCCAGAAAGACCTGAGAAAACATCAGAGCAATTCTAGCCCTGGCTTTCAATTTTTTCTGGAGTGTATATTACAAAATACAAGTGACCCCCAGCACCACTTGTTCAGTTTTGACTCAAAGGAAAGA